TTTTTTTTTTTTTTTTTTTTTTTTTTTTTTTTTTTTTGTATATGAGGGTGATGCAACTATCAGTGTTTGAGCTACAGCCCATCTTGGCCGAGACCCTCTTGTAAAAGAGACTATAAACCTCAGGAGTCTTAGCTCCTGGTTGCAAAGGTTTATTAAAACATTAAATAAACACTAGATGCTAAAGAGGACAATGCTCCACCATACTGAATTTTAACAAGTTTAATATTGTTAACAGTGTAGTTTAGCGTGTGGTAAAACTGAAAAATAAAAAGTGAACGCAAAGTACAGGTTTAAGAAAAAGAAATAGCAGAAACACAAGTCAAAAAGAATTCAGCTAATTCTAAAGGTGCTGTGAACATATCTTAAAATTCTTATGTTTTGATAAGAGCAAAAAAAATTCACATATTAGGCTTCTTAGTTCAAACATTTGCAAATATTTATTGCAATGGTACTGCAGTTTATTAGGTCATTTTATTTAGTTAACATCAAATATGTCAAAGATTCACAATACTATTTTATCCTCATTTGTATATGAGACCAACAAAAATGTTTATGTCATAGCATCATTTGTAACCCTTTAATCCTAATAAAAAAACAGTTTTCTTTAGATTGATCAAAAGAAATGCTGATACTTTTTCTGATGTCTGTCAAATGTACAAGACAATATCTAACTGTTGCATGGTGATTTTGTTAAACAAAGCGGTCAGTACTTGAAAAACTATTGTTTCGTTCAGGATGATGCAGACTGTCAGTTATTTCTGCTCTACAAAATATTATTGAACATAATTACATACAAATATTAACTGAGCGTTTTAGAATAGAATAGAATGCCTTTATTGTCATTACACGCATGCATAACGAGATTAGAGCCACTCCCACATTAGTGCAAATACACATTAAAAGAAGTGAAAAGAATAAAGAGTAACAGGATAAAATTAGCTAAAATATGCCTATGTACATGTACATACATACATACTATATATATAGATAAGGAGGTTACAGGACGGGGGTTAAGGAGCCCAAATTTTAGCTGCCAATTTACTCATAATGTTCAAAAAAAGAAGTGAAAAGAATAAAGAGTAACAGGATAAAATTAGCTAAAATATGTATATGTACATGTACATACATACATACATGTATGTATGTACATATATATTTAAACCCATACATTCTAATGTTGATAATAATAAAAATAATAATATTTTAAAATAGACCCATGTATATGAGATGATTCCCAAACTTCTGTGTTGCTGTATTTCTTAAATAATGTATTCAAGAATGTAACTTATGCCGCGTTCACACCGAACACGATTTCAGCTTCAAAATCGCATCCAACGCTTCAAGTTGGACACTTGTGCAC